CCCCCCCGTACTCGGATTGGGTTGGGGGGGGGCGCTTTAGCATTCCGAAAGTAACCACTTCCTTTTCCTGGAAGCTATTAAAGGGAACCGTCGAGGTGGGAGAAGAGAGACCTTTTCCTGCTGGTTAAAGTAATCGGAGCCTCGTCTTTGATCTGATCGATATGTGGCGTACTGCGTTACGCCGATGCCCTTCTCTTTACGATGGACACCCCACCCACCCCCAGCAATCGGTTGCTTTTTCTGTCTGTCTTTCATTGCTAAGTGCCCACGAGTAGACTTAAGCTGTTATGGCAAGACCGAGTTCTTTCTAAGCAAAGTGCCAAATAATCGCGGTTTGGGGGAGTCTTGCTGCCCCACCGGAGGCATTGCTGCCACGCTGAGGAAGCTGCGGTGCGGGTAAGGAATGGACTCTTTGCCCGGTTGCAGCTCGGGGCTGGGGGTGGTTGTTCCTCTAAGTCTTCCAGCACAGTTAAGAGCACGAGGGCAGGCGCTGCTTCCTGCACCAAATGGGCCAGCCGGGAAGGACCATGAGAGCAGGTCGGTGCTCAGGTGGGGCTGAACAGGGCTTGTGGTATTTCTGGCTGCTTTGGGAAACTTAGGCCCCGTCGCACCGGCCGGATATCGCGGGGGAGGCGTGGCTAATTGCCCCAGTACAGTTTGATCCGCGATTGCGATCAGATGCACTGGTCCTTCCCTCGGCGCCGGCGGGTAAACGAGGGACAGGAGGGGAATGCTGCATGCTGTCGCAATCACACCACTGGTCTGGAGGCAGCCCGTGGCAAACGTTTACTAGTACCTTTGAGGTACTAGTTTTTTAATGCACATTGTCACGGGCGTCTGGAGGCAGCCCGTGGCAAACATTTACTAGTACCTTGGAGGTACTAGTTTTTTAATAATGCGCATTATCGGTGGTAAGCCACGGTGCGCTCCACTTCCCAGATATTGGGGTGTGATTGCGCCTGGATAATCCGCCCACCATCCATGCCTCTCCCGTATGCCGTGTGACCGGGGCCTTAAGTTGCAATCCTAAAAAGTCTTTCCTGGCAGTAAGCCCCTTTCAGTAAAACGGGAGTTACTTCAAAGTACACCTTTTAAGGATTGTTTTCCTATCTCTGCAGTGCACTTGAAGGGCTTAAAAGCAGTTAGGGAGATGCTTTTCCTTTTAAAATGGAATGTTTCTTTTAAAAGCAGTTTTAACATCTAAATCTGAGCCAAACATGAATCTTGTGGCATCCCAAAGGCAAGCTGATTGATAGATGTGTATACTGTTGAATGCCAGATCTTAGGGTTGTTGTTGTGAGGATGTGCTATTATTATTTTTTTTGCCCTTTTGAGTGTCTGTGTATGCACCATTTTAATTCATCTGCTGGCCTTTCAAGTGCCTCGAGACACCTTTTGGGTTCAGCTTTCTTTGATTTTGGCTGGTGTAGATGAAGAGGTGATTTTTATACCCCGCTTTTCTCTATCTTGGAGCTGTGGTGGCTCAAGTGGTTAAGACGCTGAACTGCAGGCTGTGGAAGGTCAGTAGTTCAGCAGTTCGAGACCCGGATGCCGCATGACAGAGTGAGCTCCCATCTCTAGTTCCAGCTTCTGCCAACCTAGCAGTTCGAAAGCAAGAAATTGCAAGTAGATAAATAGGTACCACTTCGGTGGGAAGGTAAGAGCCTTCCGTGGGCCTTGGTGTTTAGTCATGCCGGCCACATGACCACGGAAACGTCTTCAGACAGCGCTGGCTCTTCAGCTTTGAAACGGAGATGAGCACCGCAACCCTAGAGTCGGATTCGACTGGCTTTCGAGCAAGGGAATCTTTACCTTTACTTTCTCTGTCTTAAGGAGTCTCAAAGCGGCTTTCCCTTCCCCTCCCCACAACAGGCATCTTGTGAGGCAGATGGGGCTGAGAGAACTGTGACTGGCTCAAGGTCGCCCAGCAGGCTTCATGCGAAGGAGTGGGGAATCAAATCCAGTTCTTCAGATTAGAGTCTGCTGCTCTTAGCATGGCTCTTGGTGCAGGTTGAAGTGCTTAGAGTAAAATGCAAAGTGTCCTGTGGTCTTTACTACATTTATAGGCATTGACCCCAATGCTTGATCTGCCTGTGAACTTGGACTTCTGCCTCCCAAAGTTTGGTGCAGCTGCTGTAGACTAGCCCTGTTCATAAGCTACCATGAACACACATACAATTTGTGTGTATGTATACTTTATGTTTCTGTATATGTGCATTGAGTAATTCTCATGTGACATTTAGTGCCATGTATAACTGAACACTTAGCTTGTTGGCTGTTTCTTACAAACAAATGTACTGTAACATGTGAACATGGTTACTGAGTCATTGATCCATTCAGGTTAGTCATCTGCTGTGACAACAGTGACTCTCCAGGGTCTAGTGTCAAAATATTTCACTTTACCTCCTATCTGGTACTTTTGAGCTGGAGATGCTAGGGATTGGACCTGGGACCTTTGGCATGTTAAGTAGATGCTCTACTCCTGAGCCATGAGCCCCTTCCTTTGGTGGCTTTGATAAGTGGTCTCAGTGAGCTTTCTAAGTGACAAGCCATTGCATTGGTATAGGTAGGCATATGGATTTCTTTTCCTGCCTTCTACCTAGTCAGTCTCCCTTGCTTCTGGGAACACCAAATATTATCCTGTATTTTATCAGAGGGTGTGTTAACCCTACCTTTTTCTCCAAGGCGATGAAGCGTGTGCCGTACTTGGCTCCTTCAGCTATATTTTGTCCTTGCAGCAAACCTCCAATCCTTGATTTGAGGTAGTGGCTGGTTAGAGATCACCCAAAGAGTTCAGTGGCTGAATGAGCAGTCAGACCAGTGTAGTGAAGTGGTTAGCATGTCAAACTAGGATCGGAGAGCCCAAGGTTCAAATCCCTAGTGTGCTATGGAAGCCAGTCTGGTCATGTGTAGTGGTTACAAGCAGCAGACTGGAAAACCAGAACCAGGTTTGATTCCCCACTCTTCCACATGCAGCCAGCTGGGTGACCTTGGGTCAGTCACAGCTCTCCCAGAGCTCTGGCAGCCCCACCTACCTCACAGCAGATCTGTTGTGGGGAGAGGAAGGGAAGGATATTGTAAACTGCTCTGAGACTCTCTGAGTGAAGGGTGGGTATAAATCCAACTCTTCTTATTATTCTTGAGGCAGCCACACTCTCAGCCTTACCAACCTAAAAGGAATGCTGTGAGGATAAAATATTGAAGTGGGAAGGTAACAGCGTTCCGTGCGCCTTGGTGTTTAGTCATGCCGGCCACATGACCACGGAAACATCTTCGGACAGCGCTGGCTCTTCGGCTTTGAAACGGAGATGAGCACCGCAACCCTAGAGTCGGACTCGACTGGCTTTCGAGCAAGGGAACCTTTGCCTTTACCTTAACTTCACTTTGAGTCCCCACTGCAGAGAAAAGTGGGGTAGAAACAAAGGAAAGAAACAAACCTCAATCTCCCTGAGTAGTCCAGTTCTCTATCTGCTACAGCAGTTTACTTAATTTATATCCCAGCTTTCTCCCTCATGGAGACCCAAAGAAGCTTCCATCATTCTCCCTTCCATTTTGTTCTCACAGCAGCCCGATGAGGTAGATTAGGCTTAGATTGTGTGACTGGCCCATGGTCACCTGCAACCTTCCATGGCAGAATAGGGATTCACACTTGGGTCTTCCGTGTGACACTATGACCACTGAGTACAGGAGAAAGTCGGAAGTGCTGACTGCTCAGCCTGTGCCAGTCCCTGAATTCCATGTGATAGTGGTAGCAACTGGGGGCTCTGGGCAGTGTTCTCGTGTCTGTTAACTTGAATGTCCAAAGCTGTCTTATAGGAGGGGGCAGGTAGCTAGGTGGCAAGAAGAGGAAGCTGGTTTGGCTTGTGAAGTTTAGCGTACCTTGAAATGAACGGTTGGTAATGCGGACAGATATACTTCCACAGTCATGTGTTCTTTAGGAGGAGGCTGTGGCTCAGTGACAGAGCATCTGCTTTGCCTGCACGATGTCCCATGTGCAATCCCTGGCATCTCTAGTTAAAAGGACTGGGTGAAAGACCCCAGCCTGAGACCCCAAAGATCCACTGTTAATCTGAAAAGACAATTCTGACTTTGAAAGACAAAGGGGTCTGACTCAGTAGATGCCAGCTTCATGTGCAGGGGTCATTTCCTGCAGGAGCGCACAGGAGCAGAGCTCCAGAAATAAAGAGCCCAGGGGGCGGGCACATGCAACAAGCCCCACCCCCTGCTCCCAGCAGCCCTCACTCAGAGCAAGAAGCAGCCAGGTAAGCTGCAGAGCCCCCCCCCCGGCCCCCCAGTCCAAATCAGTCCAGTGGCACCTTTAAGGCCAAGGTTTATTCAGGTACAAGCTCTCCCTCCTCTGCTAGGACAGATCTGCACGTTCCCCCCCCCCCCCATAGCTAGCAATCCAAAACAGTTCAGTGGAGCCTGAGCAGTGGGTGTTGCCTTCTGACACACTTCCGGTGATGTCAGGGGGTGTGGCATATGCAAATGAGTTATGCTAATGAGCTCCTGCACCTCTTTTTCTACAGAATGACCCCTGTTCATGTGTATTCATACATTCCCATGTTAGTTTAGGATAGGAGTGCTAATGTGTGAATTGCAGGCTTGTTCCTTGACATGACTTTTTTTCATGTTCA